GGCCACTTTGACGCTATCGCCGGTGGCGGTGTGAACGCACAGTAATACAAAAGATGCAAATACTTGCAGGTTTCTTGCCAAAAAGAGAAAATTAAAGGAAGAAGGTGATGAATAAAGATAAAATTGCTAATTATTTTTTCATTCCAATAGGCTAAATGACTGTCCTATCCACAACCTACGCACTTGTCAAAGCCACACATTTTACCATGGTTACCTTGTCTACATTTTTATGTAGTTTTGAGGATAAGTGTATTTACTGAAAGGCTAAACTGAAAGTTTAAGAAAAGTTAAAATACTAGAAAAAATAATTCTCAATTTGCACACATTCATTCTTAATCTTATGCCTAATATGCTGAAAATGGCTCCGGTTGAGTTGTTTACAGTCCTGGATAGTACTGTCGGTCGTTTAACATTTCTATCACTTCACAGTTTAGCTATCTACTTACATCTTACATCTCACTTTTGACCATTAAAAGTGAAGCGTTCCGCTGGAATTCACGCTCGCCTTTTTAAAAAGTAATGGTAATGCCCGCTTTTTTATTGGATTGTACGTCTCAGCTTCACTGTTAGAGCACTGATCAGCTCAGATGAGAAAGTCGGTTATCTTGGCGTTGTACAGTATATTTGCAGCACCAAAGAACTGTTATTATTAGGCAATTTTATTATACACCTCAGGTTAAAAAAACAGAGGTTCAGACCTTGGGGGCCTCAATAGCGGGTACGGCTATGGACGCATTCACACTTCGTTCAATTTTTGGTAGCTGACTTGTACGTAGCTCAGTATTTTCTGTAATATTCCATTCACATGAGCAGAACAGTTCCTTATGTAGTCTTTTAACATAAGAATTTCTGTTGCAAGTTCTAAAACTGTAAGGCATTCTTTATAAAAGCTAAACAAAAATCTTAAACGGCTTTACAGTGTTTTGCATCTGTTTCTGGACAGATATCAGTAGCTGGCTGCAGCTCTTTGGGTTCCAGCTTCATAATGTGGTTCCAGGGTTCCCCAAACCAAAGGTGGAGAACACAGAGCAAACATATGAGATGATGGCCACACAGATCCGCACACAAACCTGGGACACCAGCAAGGTAAGTTGAGGTTTCCCATAGCACAGCATCCATCGCCAACATAATTAGTCTATTTAGTCTAGTCTTAAATTAATAGTTTACCTAAAAAAGCAATTTTCTTTTCTTTTTATTAACTTTTTCTTGTGTCATCATCATTTGTCAAGTTTTGAAACTATATAATGATAATAATGTTGGTCTTGGTTTTTTCCTCTTTTGAACACAAAAGTGATAATGAAAATGAATCAGGATTGGGGCTAAATTCCAATGTGACCAAATGACCAAAAAGCACCATAAAAGAATCTTAAAGGTATTATGCAATATGTCATATGATAGATATCTCCTTGACACATTCATGAAAGTGGCAGCAATGTCCAATCCAACTCACCGACTCAATCCGGTCATGTGGGTACATTTTTTGGTAAACTATTCCTTTAAGAGTTAATTTTGTGCACCAATCAAACAAGACTTATGATAACTATGTCATAACATCTCACCTCAGATTGTACTCGGCATCCAGTGTGACCTTCAGAAGCACTTGAAAAACTTTATTTCATTGGATCGCCTCCCCATGACTCCAGCCAATGGGAAAATTGGAGGTCGGCAGGGTCGCAGGCCAATTTTCTCTGCCATTTCTTCAATTTTCGGCAAAGGTGTGAAATTTGCCGTCCGTGATGGAGTGGTGGCGACTGAGATAATCGGTGTGGCAAGCGAGGACAGCCGTCGTGTGGCGGCTGTGCTGAACGGTGCTTTATACCTGCGTGGCCTCCATTTCACGGTGGAAGGGCGTGACACACACTATTTCACCAAAGCCGGCCCACTCGAGGCAGATCTGGGAGTGGCCGGGGGTGGTGCCGGAGGCGGTGTCAGAGTGTTGGAGAACGGCGTAAACGTCTCTGTGTCCCAGATAAGTGCTATGGTTGGAGGGGAAATGCGCCGATTCGCTGACATTGTGCTCCAGCAGGGGGCGCTTAGCTTTAACATTCGCTACGGAGCATCACCGGAGGAAGAGCGCACACGTGTGCTGGAGGCGGCACGAATACGAGCTGTGCAAGGGGCATGGCTACGGGAGCAGAAAAGGGTCCTGGAGGGGGAGGGCGGAAGTTTGTCATGGACTGATAAAGAAAAGGATGAGCTTATTGCAGAGGGCCGTGTCTCAGGGTATGATGGGTTCTACGCTCTGCCCGTTGAACAACACCCTGAGCTCGCAGACAGCCCCTTCAACATTCACCTGATCAGACATGTGGAAACTGGTCGCAGGTAACAGCGGCACTTCAGCACACCTCTACACGCCTACACACCCCTTTATACACTCCAAGCTACCACATATCTCTTCAGCTTTTTTTTTAGAACCCCAACCAAACAAAGTGAGAAAGACTCTATTGCCTTTAAAATGTGACAAATGATGGTATTGATTTTGCATTTGTTGATGCACTCTTGGCAAGTTCAGATTCCTGTTTTTCGGTTTTGTTTCTTTCTTGTCTTTCTGTTTTACAGTGGCTTAACCGTTCTTACTAAAGAACAAGCCTTGCTTGCCAATCTGAAGGCGCAGAGAATGATTCACCTGTGACTGTTCTAGACATACATTAAGGAGTCTTCATCTCTACACATGCTGATTCTCTCATTCGAGCGTGTACAGTAATCATTCGACTTGTCGAGTCAAACTGGTTATGGCATTAAATCGTGCAAACCCGAGGGGTTTCCTTGTGATTTCATTGAGCCGACGTTTAAACAGAGATCTGGAACTGTCACATTCACAACAGCGTTCTGGAGTCCTGGAGAAGTATCTGACTCAAAAGTGTCACAAAACTTAACCCCTTAGCAGCAAGAGATTCACAGTGTTTGGAGTCTTGGCAAGAGCTCACCACCATCTTGTGTTGTTTCTGCTTAATCAGTGTTGACGAAGCTGAGAGAATTACACCGCTGCTGTGGAAGACAAATTTGTTCTTTTTTTTTTTTTTGCTAAAACTGTACAGTTTACTTTTCTTTTTTTCCCAATGTAGAAAAAAAATAAAAAAATATGTATGTGTAAATTGTGCCTTCCTGGTCTGCTAGAAACGATCACATGAAACGGGCTTAGACATATTGTACATAATCAACTTCAGTATTTGTCACATGCCTTAGTTATATGCAATTATTTATTTTTTGATTATTTTGATTTATTTACGTTTGGCTTGCAGGAGCCAAAAACATGAATGCTAATGCCTGTGAAGTGAATTCTTGTAAACATACCCCAGGAATTAAACACAGTGGCATAAACATGTCCCAGTTTACAGTTAATATGCTGCTCTTTTTTATTTATTGTCATGTGATTTCACTGTTTTTCTGTTGCTTTTGTTGCACTCTAAATGTGAAACTCACCTCACGTGTCTGTCATTTTGGTTTCTAAATGAGTGTCAAAGCTCCAACGGTTTGGATTTTTCCAGTACTTTGACTGGTCCTTTTCCTTTTTTCTGATCCCTCTCGAAACTAGTAGGAGGCCTGAGGAGGAAGATGTGTAAGGAAATGAAAGAATCACCTGCTAAAGAACGGTATTTTTGTCTTTTACAAACTATTAAAGTCTGCAGCACTGTGGGTAGACGTTCTGTGTGTAGGACTCTTGATATGGACTTGTATATCATTAATGGACTATTGTAGACTGTTTATAGATACTGGACTATTTATACATGACACTCAAAAGAATTAGGAGTAAATGTATTTTCTTGTGAATTCTGTGGATATGCTGTACCATCAAGCTTTGTAATCTTAATCTGAGATATATATTTGCACTGAATATAAGGTGGAGATAAATGCATTAGACTGAATTTTTAGAGTGTGCAAATATTTAACAGATTATTTGTGCAGGAGGTGCTCTAAAGGCACGTTATGTTTCCGATATTTTGCAGATGTTCATTTCAACTGAAGTACGATTACTTTGCACGAGGAAAAAAAATTGTGGCAGAAATATTTTTCTTTTTATCTTAGTTTGCATCTTTGTCATTATCACAATCATTGCTGAAATGAAAAAGGAATATGTACTTTTTTTCATGATCAAATCATCTTCCTCTCTCAGAAGTCAAGTACTAAAAAAACTTCAGTGTCCTCTCCTTGGCCAAACGAGTTCCTGTGGTGTATATTTGGCTGATAGGCTTTATGTACACAGATTAATGCAGTTGGTTAAACATGCCTATTTAAAAACAAAGTACTTTGGGCAGTGGCCTTTTTATAAATAAAAATGCAAATTTAACCCTTTGTTGCGAGTATGTGTGAGTATTTGCACAGAACAGCTGAAGCACTTGTTCACTCCAGAGTGATTTATGATTCATTTGTAACCTTTATATCTTGCATTTGTTTCTCAAGAGGAATGATCATTCAAACGCTGAGGCATCAATGTTTTATATCGGTTCAAAGAATCATAAAGATTCAAATAGAACATTATCTCTTCTGCAAATATTTTTTGTGACTGGAAAAAAAGTACATTACGCATATTATATATTTTATTTATAACATCAAAAAGGCTCTGAATTTCATTTACAATAAATCCTTTGAAATCAAAACAATTTTGTTTTTAACATTAGCGTGATAGCATTGTTGCAGGAAGTGTTAGACAGACACGCTTGTTATCAAACTCTCATTACTAGACTGAAAATAAGATCTGACTTTGTTCAAGGCCTATTTTTCTCATGGGTTTCTCTGTAATGATCTATAGATGGCTATCTGTATTTGCTGAAACTAGTTAATTCAAGGAGGTTCTTTATTTAAAAAATCCTCTGAAAACATTGAATTGTCAGTCTGCCAACCGTGTTTTCTTCACAGTATTGTACAGAGATGTACAATATAACACAGTAGGACAGGACAGGTATTTCCACAATGGACAGGTATTTCACATATATTATGGCTGAGCATTTATCAAATTACTTTTAATATCGACTTGAAAGGTAACAACCATTATTTTATTTAAATTGAAATCATTAAATGCATTTCAATGGTTTCTCCCTCCTGATATATCTAATACACTTTTAATACATTTTTACAATTTACAGCATTTTTACAAATTTTCTACAATTTACCCATGGCGGTTTAAGAGCCCCCACCGCTGTATGCAAGGATATTTTCTCAGACATAGAAATACCCATGCATGCATTTACAGCAGGTATAAACAGTGAGGTGTTTGTTTCAACTTGTGTGTTATTGTTTAGGTTTGTTCACAGGATACAGAAGAGGAACAGAGATGCCTTGGTCCGGGATCTTGAACGCAGCAATGAGGTTACTTGCGTTTCGAAAGAGTCGTTCCTTCATCCCAGGGGCCATCTGAAAAAAATAATTCAATAAAAATGAATCTGGTCTCTTAAAAAGATATTTTAAAGTACTATACCTGATACATAACTTTTTATTGTGCAATTTAATAGAAATGGTAATTCTAAGAAATAATACATACAAACTCGTGGTACTACCATATGACCCATGCGTTGAGAAAGATTTCTCTGAGTGAGTGTAAAATATAAATAAAGAAAATAGCTTTGTGGTATTCTGCTCGTGTGGCTGGTGGTTAATGCTGATCAGTTACAGGAAGCACAATGATATGAGATAAAACATGACCTTAAGTTATGTTGCTCATTTTAAAGTGCCTGTTTTAGTTACAAGGAACTGTTTTTGGTTTCATAGTGAACCAAAATGCAAATGTTTATCAGCATCTCAAAGTGTGTTTGAAGTTTTTGCACATCTTGCCTTTCCTTAATGCATATGAAATGGGCTATGTGGGTGATATTAAAACATAACAGACATACATTGGCAACTCTCTGGCTGTGCATTTGTGTGGTGAGCAATGAATACATGCAAAACACTGACCACAAATAGAAAAACAAAAATTCCACTGTATTCTTCTGCAGTCAACAGTATATAGTGTAGTTCTCTTCTTGTTTATGAAATACTGTAACAGTGGCATTCAATTTTGCTACAGAAATGGTCACACATCATCACACACAACATATGATAAGACATAAGTATCTGTTTGTACAAAATTAGATCTAGGCCTATATCCAGGTTTCACTTGAGGAAAGATACAAAGCTCGAGTAAATCTCTTCGTACCTCTATTGTCCAGAGGCCATCCTTTTGTTTGAAAACTCTGTAGGTGTAAATCCATCCATCACACCTGGAGATTTACACACAGTTATTATTATGATATTATTTGCAGCATAATAGATAGTATAGAATAGTATTGTAGCTATTACACGCCTGTCTAGAATGCTTAAGTCTGTAGCTGGTTACATAAACTACTAAGACTAGTCTTGCAAGTCCATCCATCTTCCCTTATTCAGCTCATTTGCAGGGTCCACTTACACACACATTTGACTTGGCACAGGTTTTACACCCGATGCCCTTCCTGAAACATTCACACTCACACACATTCCTACATGCATCCAATCCACCTAACCTGCATGTCTTTGTGCTGTGGGGGAAACCGGGTGAAAAAAAAAAGCCAGGGTGCGAACTCTTGCTGTGAGGCGACAGTGCTATCCACTGAGCCACCGCCCTAAGACTAGTCTTACACAGTGCACATCATTTTTTCCTTCAAGACTGATCATCATTTTTTTAAGTAAAAATATTAAAAGATGGATTGGTCTCATTAGAATGATTAGCCTTCCTAATTGCAAAGTTGGTCAGACTAGTCTAAAAGGCAATGGCTGCATCCAAAATCGCAAACTCTCTTGAGTAGTTACTTATTTTGAATAAATAAAACAAGTATGTTCTCTGGGCTGCATCTGAAATCGCATACTTGCCTACTATATATAGTAGGTGAAAAACAAAAGAATATAGTGTGTGTGACAAAAGTAGAATGACCGAATTCACAGTGGTCATGAAAGATTAGGCAAGTATCCGGATGACCTACTGCTTCCGGCAAGATTCTGAAGTGTGCATATGATGGACACTTTATTATCCCATGAGGCCACAGGAGAGGATTTATGAAGGGCAATGAAGGGACGCAACTGATGCTGGTATGTCACATGATAATGACAACATGGTGAATGTCCCTAGTGGAAAAAAAATATATACCAAAATGTATTTAAAATACATTTATTTCATACTAGGTATACTACAAATCCATTATCATATTTACTGACATATCATTTGAGACTTACTGATATGAATATTATAATTAAACTTTATTAGTAGTACTTCTTTTTCAGCACAATCAAATATACTTAAGTATATCTTTAGTTGAATTAAAGCACTGTTTACGGATAACTAAAGTGCATTAAGTAAAAAATTAGTTTTTCCAGTTTAGAAGACTTAAAGTATACCAATTTAATATACTAAAAGTACAATTGCATGGTATTTATATTAAATTACATAATTAAACTTTGTAAATGTAGCCTATTTGTAGTAGGCTATAGCATAAAATAAATGTATTTTCAATAGCCTACATTTTAGTATATTTTTCACTAGGGATTTTGAAAATCACATTGATTGTGATTTTGAAAATCACATTGATTTTCACAATGATTATGTCCAGATTACATTCATACACACTCATACTATAAAATATAACATCCTACTTTTTTTAGTGGTTGTGAAGTAATTACTTACTCAAAATGAGTACCTACTCAAGAGATTATGCGATTTTGGAAGAAGCCCTGGACGTACATTCGCCATGTTGTCATGTGACCTACCTGCGTCAGTTATGTCGCTTCACTGCTCTTCATAATTCCTCTACCATGACCGCATGGTAAAGTGTCCATTATTACACACTTCAAAATCGCGCCGGAAGAAGTAGGTAATCCGGGTACTTTTTGCCTACTCTTTTGTGAGTGAGTACTGTGAATTTGGACATACTTATTTTGTCACACATTGTTTTTCGCCTACTATAGTACGGAAGTATGCGAAATGCGATTTCGGATGCAACCCTTGTTTAGCAACTTGCCCTGCATCGCCCGTCTGCTCATCACGGTAATGATACCGGTATCTATTATCACAACTCGAATCACTCTCTTGTTTCATACTCATATAAATACAAATTACGCCATCTTGAGTCTCAGTACTGTAGTCTAATCGATTGTAGTGACAAATAACCTCAACGTGCCTCAGTATTAATATTACTGTTTTGTAGCAGTTGTCGATGTTTTGTACCTTGTAGTAGACTGTTTTGTCTTAACGAAAGCTTAAAGGTAATATACAGGTTAGATTATAAAATAATTTAAAGTCAATTGAATATTTCACGCCAATGTAAATGAGTAGCCGTTTAATAAGTGGGAAAATGTAGGCCTACAATCTATCGCAAGGCCTACCTTGACGCGGAGCGAAGGCTTCATCCTAAAGGGGGTTATTTTGCGATAATAATCGACTGACTACATGCTAATGTTAAAGGGGAACTTGGCAACTTCTTCAACTTAATAAAACTGTTTAGAAATCATCTGGATGGTTAAATAACCTGTTCTGGTGAAAATGGTGACTATCCCTGCTCCCCCCAGTGATCCCAGGCGGAAAACCATCCTTGCACAGGGCTCGAATTTCGGCGCGGGATTGCGGGTATTGCGCATAATTCTAATCATTCCCGCAAGTCTCCCATTTATAATGCGGGAAATTCCCGCAATCGTAATCCACACAGATAATAAAATCAAATCATTCTTTTAACAACTATCTTCCAGACGCAATTTCACAAACAGCGTGAGTGTTCAGCGGTGCCGCGCGTCTTCCTTCTCTTCTCTCTGTGTTGTGCAAGGCAGGCATCAAGCGCTGCGGCGATAATACACACTCGCGTTTTGGAGTCGGGACCATAGACTGTAAGGTCGGGACATGACGGAATATTCACTTGCACAATCGGGCCAGCAGTGCATCGTGACTTAAGTCCTTTTAAGTCTCACCAGTCTTACCAGTTTAAACATTCAAGCGATTTTAAACTAATCAGTGCTCGCGCGCTCTCTGAGAGATTATTTTCTATGCGCACATTCATAGAAAATCCGCCTCAAAAACAGCTGGCCAGTAACTATTTTTCGCGGATTATATTGCTTTAACACGCAAAATTGTCAATTTCGGTCTTTGTGAGTAGGCTATAGACCTTATGTAGCCACGCCCCTTTTCCGCGCTGAGCTCATTGTCTTTTGACTTCCGGTCTGTATTTTCACAGCGATCTTGCCTAGTTATGAATGAACGGCTCGTTAAAAAAAATTCCCAAGGTCAATTTGTTAAGACATATGCTTTACAATGCTTATCATAAACATTACAATGCTCATGATAACTTTCGTTAACTCTAGAATAAGTAAATCAACTTCACCAGCTAATTACTCCTGAACAGCGATGCCATAGAAATATACAGAGCGACCGCAAAAACGGAAGTTCAAAGACAATATTCTAAAGATGGCGGCGCCCTCGTTTCTCTGGTGCATAAGGTCTATACTCTAAACATAGTCGGTTTTGTCTTTAATAGGCCCAAGCATAAAACGCATGCCAGTATAATGAACACAGGATCCGTGCACTAGCTCTTAAAGTGACGGCAGCCATTTGTGTCAAAACAACAAAAGATAGCTTTAAGTTAAAGGAATCAGGATTAATAGCCTATGTATTTAATTTATTCAGGACTAAAATACTACCCAGTGTTATTTTCCATTTGATTACTTTATTCAGTTTCTGTTTATGAATACTAGTGTTAGACCTATTCAAAAACTTTTCTCTTTAATTGTCTTTATTTGTATCTTTATTCTATTGTATTTGTGCTACTTTTTTCAATTTAATTAAACAATTTAAATCAAGCTTCCTTGTGATGTGTAAATTCTTAACAACAATATTACCCCATTGTAAAAATGCAATGAGCGCAAACATTTAGGCAAGATAAATGTAATCATTTTGTTTGGAAAAAATGATTTTCCCTTTCTCCCCCTCATACAAAAAAAATCCCCCCCATGAGAATCATCTAAGGGGGGATTTCCCCCCCCATTTTCCAAAACGAAATTCAGGCCCTGCTTGCAACATGGGGACTAACGTCCCGGGAAGTTGGAAATAGGAAGTCTGGTGAGAAGCGAGAAACACGAACTGCTTTATGGCAATTCGACATAATTCTATGATACTGTGTATGATGTATTACCCACCTTGGTAGACATAGCTCCACACGATAAAGTTGTCCAGCTCCGATAATAACAAATCCACATAAGCAGCGGTAGAAAGGGGGAGGAGGGTGCCGCAAGTGAGTTTTTTTTTACGACAGTGTTGTGAAATATACGCCCCACAGCTGTTGGGGGAGCTCGATGAGAAAACATGCGATAACAAAAGTGAAAATCAGCGAAGAAATAGCTAGAGTTGCCAAGTTCCCCTTTAATCACAGCATGTGAACTACACATCTTGTTAAAGCTGCGGTCCGTAGTTTTTCCTCTTTGTCGCCATCTCTGTTCGAAATCTGCAATTGCAGTTATTCGAGGAATTATCAACTTTACGTGAGTTGTGCCTCGGCACGGCACAGCGCGGATGGATCCAATGTTTTGAGGAGACTGTGAGGCTGTCAGTCACCGCGTGGTGTGGATACTGGCATTCAGAATCACAGATTCTACTTTTTGGAAGTATGACCAACATAAGAATTTTCACCGGAAAATGTCCTCTGAACAAGTAAGAAACATCCACTTTTGTTCTTCTGACCAACTAAGGGGAAAAAAACATTGCAGTAAATCGCGCTGATTAAATCTAACGATCGCTTATCATATCACTGCAAACCGTGCAAATTATACTTTGTTCTCAAATTGTTATTGTTAACAACATCAGCATTGCATGACTACATTTAATGCCCTTCATATTTATTCTTGTTTTCGCATGGGCCCGGTTGCAGTCTCTTCTTTTCTGTAGCCAGTCCGAAGACTTTTGCGTTTTACAACGGGTGAATCTCCAGTTGTCACTGGTGATTGTCGTTTGAACCTTTCTGGATCCGCCATCAAATTGATACGTTTAATTATATCAAGTGCTGTGAGAAAAGGCTATAAATCTCCACCTCTAGCATCCTCACACGCAATATAGCCTACTAGCCGAGTACGGTGGCCGAGAGAGCTCAACGCGCTGCAACTGAAGAAAACACATGCAAATACAAAAAAACACATGCAAATCAATAAAACGCATGCAAATACAAAAAAACGCGTGCAAATAAAAAAAAACACCCGCAAATTAAGAAAACATCTTCATCAGTTTCACAACACACGTGTGCTCCAAATACTCACAACACCACCAAAAAGCCTACAAACGCGCTGCAAAAGCTCACAACACAAATACAGAAAACGCGCTGCAAATAACACAGAGCACAACGGAAATGTTTCCAGAGGAACCAAATAAGTGACGAACCCGGCTGGGACGTGCGTGCTGGCAGTGGCATAGATATCCATAAATCTATGCGTGCTGGTGCTTACAGCTTAAAATTATACTTTATTTATTTATTTGTGCAAAACATACAGAGATTACATTTTTTTATGACATACAACTTGTATACAATGTACAAAATGTATTAACAATGTGTTCAATGTCATCAGAATACAAATGAGAAAAGAACAATGAGCTGGAAACTAAAATAAATAAATAAAAAAGATAAAGAAGAAAATCATGAAGGAAAGATATTTATCTGTACAAATTGTTTCATGTTATTACATTTTCATAAAGAAAAGTTTCGTAAGAAATGTTAGGTAATGTAGGGTCCAAAATTTTAAAGTTGAGACACACAGATATAACGCATATTTTAAAAGCTTTTTTGTAAACTAAAAATAAAAATGTATTTGCATCCGTTATGTTGACAGCATTATATTTCTGTGGTAAGAACAGCTCTTCAGCTGATGGACGCTGTGCTGCGTTGTCATGGGAACATCCCAGGTGAAAATAATGAGGAAATTAATTTCAATTTCAATTTTATTAATGGATAGCCCCTTGAGATGCAACATCTCATTTTCAAGAGTGTCCATATAGACATAAAACTATATGTATGGACGCATAGATTTATGGATATCTATTCCAGCACGTCTCAGCCGGGTTCGTCACTTATTTGGTTCCTCTGGAAACATTTCCGTTGTGCTCTGTGTTGCAGCGCGTTTTCTGTATTTGTGTTGTGAGCTTTTGCAGCGCGTTTGTATTTGGTGGTGTTGTGAGTATTTGGAGCACACGTGTGTTGTGAAACTGATGAAGATGTTTTCTTAATTTGCGGGTGTTTTTTTTTATTTGCACGCGTTTTTTTGTATTTGCATGCGTTTTATTTTATTTGCATGTGTTTTTTTGTATTTGCATGTGTTTTCTTCAGTTGCAGCGCGTTGAGCTCTCTCGGCCACCGTAGAGACTCCTTCTTTATGTGTACAGATGTGACGTAATGACGCAAAGACATGCGCGAATTTCCCGCGGAAATCCAACAGTACCACTGGAATTACAAACAGTATTACAACCTTACCGTTTTGAATCGAGCTAAGGCAAACAGATAGTTTTGAACATTGGCTGGTTATGTACTTGCTCAAAAGTTTATTTTGGACTATTTTTAAACCAAAAAAGTTACGGACTGGAGCTTTAAGTTACTCGCAAGTTGCCAACAAATATGATAATGGCACAACAGTTCTTAAGTGGTTTTATACCGTTACTTCACAAGTGGCGTACCAACACAGTAACACAACTATATTTGGTACAAAAATGGTTAATGCTCATTTTGAATGGGGGAAAAAACAGAACAGCATGCAATAGGCCTATAGTCTTAATATTTACCATATATTTATGGCAGAAATAGAGTAGGCTTGCTAGTATGCTGTCCCTAACTGAACTCCGCAATGGTTTTCGTGAATGAGGCGTTGTCACTAGGGGTGGAACGGTACATATTCGTATTGAACCGAAACGGTACGGGGGTCACGGTTCGGTGCACGAATTTGCACGCAGAATACACGGTACAAATAAAAAAAACCTCTTAAATAGCGATGAATTTCGCTCTATTCGCTTTTGGTGTGACTGTGAACGCAGCAATGAACAGGCTGCGATCAAGATTGCAATGCAGGAGTGTGTGTGTGTGTCTGTGTGCGCGAGAGAGAGAGAGAGAGAGAGAGAGAGAGAGAGAGAGAGAGAGAGAGAGAGAGAGAGAGAGAGAGAGAGAGGCGCGATGAACAGTGTGTGTGTGTGCGAGAGAGAGAGAGGCGCGATCGAACAGTGTGTGTGTGTGTGTGTGTGTGCGCGCGCGTGCGAGAGAGAGAGGCGCGGTGTGTGTGTGTGTGTGTGTTCGCGCGCGCGAGAGAGAGAGGCGCGGGCGCGAATCGCGCGATGAACAGTGTGTGTGTGTGTGTGTGTGCGCGCGCGCGTGCGAGAGAGAGAGAGAGCCGCGGGCGCGAATCGCGCGATGAACAGTGTGTGTGTGTGTGTGAGTGTGTGTGAGTGTGTGTGAGAGAGGCACGGGCGATCGAACAGTGGAAACGTAAAAACATACTCCGTCATTTTTTTCATACAGGACATCATTAAAACTGCAAATTGTTTACTTATATTTGTGTACACTCGCAATAAAACACAACATTGTGCTTTTGTCACACTCTAAACTCTTGTCAAACTGTAACCTACACCTGTTAACAAAAGTTTTTATGGTAGTATTATTTTATACGGAAATCAATTATTTATAATTCAGATGAGAATAAAGTTAGTTAATTAAAATGAAGGAAAACAAATATCTTGATCTGAAATAGCAAATTAATTTTAAATTCATTCAGGTACAATTACCAAACATATCTCAAGGTCTTTTCGTCTTTTTAATAATTTAATTAATAAACTAATTATATAAAACTACTGTCAGTGCACTACAAATAAACTGGTTCTATGCCTTTATTAATAAAACTTATTTAAAAAAATACAAGGCTTAAGACATTTATAAAAATGCCTTCTGCATTTTTGCTTTGCTTTTCACTCCCTTGTACCGAAATCGTACCGAACCGTGATGTCTGAACCGAGGTATGAACCGAACCGTGACTTCTGTGTACCGTTCCACCCCTAGTTGTCACGCGAAATAATAGTTTCTCATTTGTATAGCATTGTTTTTCCCTGCTGTCCCAAAACAGTTAGAAAAGACCCGTGACACATTTTTGGTCCCAAGCCACTATAGTTGATAACCACGCCACTGTTACGGCTTTCTGCACATAACGCTACTCAGACTCGCAAGACAATGATGCAGTTACTCACAGCACACACACGCAGTAAGACCCCGCGGAGCTCATGCTGTCTCTGATCAGATAGCTGCCATCTCTGCCCGCTTCGTTCAGGATCTCTTCTGCTTGGCTCTTACTGATGGGTCCATGATATTCTGCCAAATCCTCCATTCTATCTCACTGTCTTTAGCAATTACACACGCACACAGACACCACAAGAGCTGACCTCACTAAAGGAAGTCGAGAGAAGCTCTGAGTTAATGGAACTGATCCAGGATCAGCTGCAGCAGATGTCCATGTGACACATTCGGACTGTTCTTAGAAACACTTACTATTCACCTTTATGCAGCAATATTACATTGCTATCGGTTTGAAATAGAGTTCCTTAAAGGGCAATTTTATTATTCTAACTCATGATAATTTATACATAGGGCCTATAGACGAATCAGTGTTTATGGATTGAGATCTTTATAACCTAACCATTTTAGTGCTGTTATATTACTGATGCAAGAAAACACGACCATTCGCAGCAACTTTAATAACTTGATTTTCTCACATTTTAAAATTATGTTCCAAAATATCAGACCATGAAACTGAGCATTTCAAACTCAAAACATTTCAAACATTTCACGTGAGTAATCTTTTGATATAATGTGGCCGGGGGAAAAAGTAAACTGACTAAACTATGAAGTGTGGGATACTGCACTACACTACTCTGTCCACGCGGGGGCACTGCCGTTCCGTTGTAATGTTGTAACGACACCAAGTCATTTTGAAAACTTCTTTTTTTTCTTGAGTTAAAAAAACTTGAATCTCCCATTTACAGGTCTTTAAAGTGAAGAACACAATAACTATCTAATTAGGCTACACAATACACAGGGACTATAAGCAGCAGCTGCAACAATAAAGAGGTTGGTATAATGGATAATTTAATCATTTAACAAAATACAAAAAAATGTCATTTAAAAAAGCAAGAGAAGGGTTGCTTTTGGCATTATTTATGTACAGATACAATTAATTGTTTACACTTTGCTCATGAACATTAGGCTAATTGTTACATGACAAGTAGCCTATTGCTAATTTGGCTAAAAAAGAATGTCACAAGGCCTAATCAGTTGGCAAATAAAGAAATGCTAATATAAAGAATTCTGATTCTAATATACATTGTTCATTAATGAATAGGAATGAACATTTATTAAGTGCTTCTTTATTTTATTGGTAACACTTTACAATAAATTACATTACTACTTTAGTTAACATGAACTAAGAATGAACCATACTTCTACAGTATTTATTAATCTTATAGTTAATATTAATTTCAACATTTACTAATACATTATTAAAATCAAATGTTGTATTTGTTAACATTAGTTCCTGCACTGTGAACTAACATGAACAAACAATGAACAGCTGTATTTTTAGTAACTAACATTAACAAAGATTAATAAATACTGTAACAAATGTTTTGTTCATTGTTAGTACATGTTAGTTAATACATTAATATTAACTAATAAACCTTATTGCAAAGTGTTACCATTTTATGGAATACAAATAAGCATTAAGCTAAGTTGGCTATTCATTTAAATTTCACATTTCTGAAAAATAAAAACATCTGAAATATTGTAATATGTTTCATATAATTAAGAAAAATCGATAAACATCAGCCTGACATTTCTTAGGCTATGGAAAAGGATTTGGGTTGTCTCCATCCAAAAATTGATGAGGGTCGAGTCTTCAGACTCTGTCCAAGTTTATTCTGGTCTCTCTCAAGGCCTGTTCAGTTATTTCCAGTTGTCTCTCTCTCTTTCTGTGTAAGCCCTAACCAACATTTGGTGAAGCTCCTGCACTGTTCGCTTTCATCTCTGAAAATGAAAATGATATCATGTCATAATAATAGTACTGTATTAAAGTCCCCCTGTGGTGAAAATCCAGCTTTTAATGTTGTTTATGTCTATGTGGTGTTTTTACTATGCTTTAGGACAAACCATGTGTAAATTAATGGTAAATTCATTTAAGTCAACACCATTGAGTATTTATTCCTCCTTAATACTAGTTTGAAATCGCTGGTGTTTCTGACATCACAAACTACCTTGTAACCAATCACATCTACGTGTTATCGTCAGCGAGTGGATCTCTGAGCTGGTGTGAGTGAGTGGAGGCGGGGCTAATTTGCATATTCATAGAACCACGTTTACTAAATTAAGCAAGGGTGTAGGGTTATATTCAAGCTATTTTAAGGCATGAAGATTTTTTTTTTTCAAGGAAAACTTTAAATATGTCATTTTGGTGATCAAAGGAGAGTTTTAAAGGGATTAAATTATAGACTACATGGGGGACTATAATAGTGTCCGTGTATTAGATGGAGTAGTCTGTTGACTCTGACCTCATATACTCTCACCTGACATTAGAGCAGATTCATCCATTTTGTACGTCTCCTCTTCGGTCCATATTTTGTGTATCTGTAAAATGTCTGACATTAGTTATACAAACCCGGACCACCAACACTACATAACTCTCCAAGAGGGCCTCGACCCCACTACATTCTACCAGGGCTGACCAGTATGGGAACTGGAGCGCTGCTAAACGCAAGACACTACAGCGAAAAGTGAATACAGCTGCAATAATCATGTGTTTCCCTCTCCCCTCCATCTTGGATATTTTCTTTGCGTGATACTCCAGCAAAGCCAGTAGCATCGTGAAGGACCAACCCATGCCTCCCACAGTCTCTTCCAGCTCCTGCCATCGAGAAGACTGTATCGCAGCATCTGAGCCCGCTCTGCCAGACTGCTCAACAGCTTCTCCCCCAGGCTGTGTGTGCCCTCCACTCCTGGACCAGAAACATTTCAACACACCCCCATTCTCAACCTATTGTACACTTAACCTTTTGCTCCTGTTCTTCTGTAAGGACTGTTCTGTTGAAAGTACTTTTTATGGTTCTTATGTGCAATACTGTGTGTATGTTCCTCTCTCTCTGTGCACTGGACTCTTTAACATCCCCACTGCTACCCATGCTCACCTGGGAAACACATTATGTTTACCTGTACATAAAGGTGTCTGTTAAAATGATATTTTATTCATATGTTATGCTACAGTATGTCCTCTGTAGTGGACACCAGGACTCAGTTGTTTAAAAAAAATAAAATTACATGTATAGGCAAAAACAATTGGATTTTTTTTTTTCATTCACCAATCAGTTTTGGGGTTTCAGGATTTTTTTAACCAAAATGTGTATAAAGATGATTCTCAACTATGTTATGAAAGATATAACAGAATGTATTGATACACCATTTTTCCTTTATACAATATGTGGGTAAAATGGCAATGCAATGCATATTAATGTGTTCTTGGGGCAACGTGTAATGAAAAAAAGAACCGTAATAATTAATATTTCATAGGAATATTGTTGTATAATTTCTTTCCCTATTCACTTGTTGTGTCTCCCAAAATACCTGATAAACATGATTTAAGTCGTGGTGTCCACTACAGTGGACATGTATGAAATCAATGCCTTGCCCAAAAGTCATATTTTGATTTGAAACCTCATAATGTTTTCCTAAAATGTTGATTTATGAAATATAATTTGAAAAGTAGTCCGATTTAAATTATAATTACAATATATGATCATATTTCCATAAGAGTTCTACATTTGATCACTAAATTAATGTCAGTCATTTATAAAGACCAAGGAGAAGTTGTTTTCATGGTGAAACCTCCAAACATTTGGTATCTGAAAATCCCTGGATGTGCTCTTTACAGGACATTTCCAGACTTAAAACTGTGACATGTATGGTGTCAGAGAAATTCACTCAAATATAACGTCCACTACAAAGGACAAAAGTCTATTCCTGGGTCCCAGGAGGATAAAGTTGACTTGACTGGACATTATAGTATTAACATAAATAAAAAATGTAATACATTTATTTTTTATAGAATTCCATTCAACTGTTTTTAGAATATGCCAGTGAAAAACGTTCTTAAACTTACAAGTATTATAATAGCAGAGTTTGTGCTGAATATAGTGAAATAAGACATGGAAATGTTATACATGACTGAAAATGACAGGGCATGTCAAAACATCTTCAGAGCCCAAAAAACACCCCAGATCCTATAGGGTTAATCTCAAACGACTTAGGGTAATATGCAGTCGTTTCAGATCCATGAACCTGTAGGTTTTCTTACCTCAAACAGCATTAGCTGAATACTTCGATCTTGAGAAGTTGGTGACTGGCTCACAGGCTGGACTTCAGGATTCATCCTCACTAAGAACACGATAACTCAAGTGTGAATAGGTTTGTAAGAGATTTGTGTTATGTGATACCTAACTAATACATTTCCTTGCAAACTAATTCATTTATGATTGGGCTTCCATAAGTGGCATTAATACAGCTTACGTTGATGCTGGTTACATTTGACTTTATTCTGATAAAAGATTGTTAATTAGAGCACGGAGTTGATGTAGTGTGGACTTGTAAAATACTCACCTCCTACTGTAATCTCCTTTGCTCTGTCTCTGCTGATGACCTGACAATGATAATCTCCAAGATCTGACACACTGAAGTCAGTTAGATGTAAGGACACATTTCCTCTCTCCAGCTCGTGAGTGATGAGACTCACTCTGTCTTTGTAAGCCCTCCCCTCAGTCACGTGTCTGTTCTTGTAGACGCAAACACAGTCTGTCTCCTTAAACCATTTGATCTGCATACCAGTGGCACAGATTACAGGAGACAAGTAACAAGGAACAATGCATTCAGACCCCAGAGAAACCTTTGATTGTTGAGTTGTTTGTGGAATGACAAGTTGAAAATGATCTGTGAGGAAAAGAGTGAAAAAGATGGACTTACACAAACAAACCATAAATATTCTTAGAATGAGGAAAAATGATGATGTGTTAATGACTTCAAGAAAACTTACCATTGCTTGAGACGCCCATGCTGTAATTCTAATTTGGAAAATATAAATACAAAATTAGTAAAGATTTTAATCCAACATAACATTCAAACATTAATTTTACAGTAATAATTTACGAGAGTCACAACATGAGGCGAGTTTAAAATGCAGTATGAGAACAAAGTGGGATTAATTCTGATGCATAATTAATTAATTTATGCTTCATTTATTGATCAACAATGAATGGTGTGATGTAGACTGTAAAACAATAGTGTAAATATATTTATGGACAGTATTAATCTGTGCACATACCCCATGTTGTTTCTTATCTGATCGACTGTGATGTGAAGTGTGCCTTGATAATTCTGAAATGAATTAAAAATAAATAAAAAACAACAGGCTCATAGATTAGATGGATGGATGGATGGATAGATGGATAGATGGATGGGATATTTTAAGACAACTTACCGTTGGATGGTTCTCTTGTCATTTTATCCTAAATGAGATGCAGTTACAATGTTTTTTACAATATATTTACAGCTGTATTTACAATTAAAGGGATAGTTCACCCCAAAATTAAAATTATTGTCCTGGCTCTTCCAAGCTTTATAATGTGAGTCAATGGATATTTCCATCAAACCCTATCCAGAAGTGCTCCACATGGCTCTGGGGGGTTAATAAAGGCCTTCTGAAGCGAAGCGATGCGTTCGTGTAAGAAAAATATCCATATTTAAAACTTTATCGACTAAAATAACTAGCTTCCGGCAGACGGTCGTACACAAGTCGACTTGAACTTGACACACAACGTAATGACGAATGTGGTTGATCAGCCCTGTTTGTTTGAACCGCGAGAGGCGTCAAAGCTTACGCTACTCCCACGTCATACACGACTTGTGTACGGCCGTCTGCCGGAAGCTAGTTATTTTAGTCGATAAAGTTTTAAATATGGATATTTTTCTTACACGAATGCATCGCTTCAGAAGGCCTTTATAACCCCCCAGAGCCGTTTCGACTTTTATCACAGATGTATAGGGTTTGATGGACTTCCAAAAAAAAATATACCCATTGACTCCCATTATAAGGCTTGGAAGAGCCAGGACATTTTTATTATAACTCCAAATTGTATTCGTCTGAAAAAAGAATGTCATATACACCTAGGATGGCTTCAGGGTGAGTAAATCATGGGCTAATTTTCATTTTTGGGTGAACTACCCCTTTAATACCCAAGTTTAATTGCTATTTTATCTTGGAGCTTTGCACTCTTCTTTTATTTGCAGTCTTATTTTTATATTGTTTCACAATATTCATTTGAAAAGTTATATTCTTGAAAGTAAAAATTTACCATGGAAAATGTAAAGGTTATGCTCTCCATGCTTACCTCATCCATAGTCGTAATTTGCAGGTGGGACATGTCCAACATGTCCCCACCACTTTTTGCCAGGGTCGATGTTGTCCCCACCCTTTTTTGAAACATCTCGTGGCACTGGCATGGATGAATCTAATACAAATAAATAAAACATCTCCGTTTAACTGGCAGATCATTCATTTCATTATTTTGTTAAAGCTCCAGTCCGTAACTTTTTGGGGTTAAAAATCATCCAAAATAGATTTTTGAGCAAGTACATAACCAGCCAGTGTTCAAAACTATCTGCTTGCCTTAGCTCGATTCAAAGCGGTAAGCTTGTAATACTGTTTTTAATTCCAGTGGTACTGGTGGATTTCCGCGGGAAATTCGCGCATGTCTTTGCGTCATTACGTCACATCTGTATGTGACCACCCAGAATATTTGGGTCTCGAAAATATTTAAAGCTCCAGTCCGTAACTTTTCCTCTTTGCCATCTCTCTGTTCGAAATCTGTAACTGCAGTGATTCGCGGAATTATTATCTTTACGTGGGTTGTAAATCGGCATGAAACAGCGCGGATGGACACAGTGCTTTGAGGCGAGTGGTGCTGTCAGTCACCGCGCTGTGTGGATAGCCTACTGTCATACAGAATCACAGATTCACTTTTTGAAAGTTTGACCAACATAAGAATTTTCATAAGAAAATGTCTTCTGAACAAGTAACATCCATTTTTGTTCTGACCAACTAAGGGGGAAAAAGCATTCGACGTGATAAGCTTCGTTAGATTTAATCAACGCGATTTACAGCAACCGTGCAAATTATAGCCTACTTTGTTCTCAAATTCATGTTAACAACATCACATCAGCATAGCGTGACTAATGTTAAATTTAATGTGTTTTATGGTTACCTGTGTAGTTCAGAATTCATATTCTCCATAATAGCAAAACGAGAAAGGCACAACAAAGGAAACTCCATAACTGTGAATTAAGAAAACGTACTGTTACACGATTGAACTATTGAAATGTCTTACTTGTTCAGCAGAAAAAAGCCGTCTCTTTTTCCGTTTTGAACCCCTTCAAAACACAAGTACTCCTCGCTGCAGACTGTAGCGCGGTGACGTCACGTATATACAATACGTCACGTACGTACGTCACGTATGTGTTACCACGCATGCGCCATATCGCGGCGACAGCGCATGCGCGTTACGCGGTTACGTCACGTGTTTTGACGTCCCGCGTCAATTTGACATAATATTTAACAAAAATGTTAATGTATTTAAAAACTCTAAAGTAATAATAAAAGCAGCAAAAAGAAGTAAAACACACATCCATAGTTTTAACTATGCCTGATTTAAGGTAAACTTATGAGAAATTTTAGAATGTATTATTGTGTAATATCTGTGTAGTATTTTATTTAAAGTTTATTTTTACATTCTATTGAATTGAATGCCTTTATTGTCATTGTACTTTACAATACAACGAAATTGGGATCACTCTCCACTGGTGTATACAATAAATACATTTAAATAATCCTTACAGTACATAAAATAATAGATATAAATAAATCAAAAATAAAAACAGTATAAAATCAGTATAAAGTTGAATTAAAACAGTGCATTTGGAAAGAAGCTATTTTTGAATCTGGTGGTGCTGGATTGTATAGACCTATAACGCCTACCAGAAGGCAACAGTTGAAACAAAAGGTGACCTGGATGAGTATTGTCCTTGATGATGTTTTTGGCTCTTGAGAGAGTGCGACTAAGTGCAATGTCTGACAAAGATGGTAAAGGGCATCCTATAATGTTTTCTGCAGTCTTGATGATTCTCTGCAGAGCCTTTTTGTCGGCAGCAGAACACCCAGCAAATCACAATCTGATATGATTGTATCCCAAGCAAGCCCACACCTATCCCACCCACTTTTTAAAACAAAGTTACTGACCTCATGTAGCAATAACTGAGCATTTCCATCTTGAATTGGTAACCGACTCACAGGTTGGACAGCAGGATTAATCCTCACTAAAAAAAATATATATAAAAAAATAAAAACATTACTTGTGTAATGTGTATGAATAGGTTCATGGAAATTGTGTTCTTAGATATCTGAAAAATAGACATCTAACTGGCACAAACACAACATACATGATTGCATTTCCCATTCAGTTTCCTATAGCATGCTGGAAAACATTATGCTGTAGCTATCAGCTAGATTTTCATGAAGTATTTAAAAAGGTCTATACTGTATATTCATATTTAATCATCTAAAATGTTCTACTATTGAAATTTCAACTTCCAAAGAGTTGTTTTTTTAAGTTGTTAATTCATAGCTACATGATTACTGTGGTTGTGATTTCATGTGCCTTATACTATTCATAACAGGAATTATTGTCCTGACATATCAGTGTTATACATTCCCTCTGATGAATGGTTTATTCTTGTTTAAGTAGATCATATAAGACTGAAACATGACCATATGCACAATATATTAGATTTGGGTCACACTAGTCTAACAGTTTACTGATCACATATTGTATGTAGATCTCTAGATTTCAGTTTAAATTCATATTCTGACAGGACATTATTAATGAGCACATTGACTGCTCACCTCTTACTGTTATCTCCTCGCTCCTGTCATTACTGATGACCTGACAATGGTAATTTCCTACATCTGACATCGTGAAGTTTTTCAGAAGTAATGACACATTTCCTTTTCTTAGCTTGTGCGTCATGAACAGACTCACTCTGCCCTTGAAGAAAACACCTTCTGTCAGCCGCCTGTCCTTATACAGGCAAACACTGGCTTTATCCTTATACCACATGATCTCCATATCAAGAGCACTGATTCCAGGAGACAAGTGACAGGGAATAATGAAATCAGACCCCAAAGAAACCCCTGGACCGGGTGCTCTACTGGGAGCAACAAGCTGAAAGTTACCTGTGAAGAGAAGAGAGAAAGATGGACTCACTTTTACTTAAACACTCGAAATGTAATGTTCTGTGGTGGAATAAGAATGATTCCTAAACTTACTGTTGCACAAGTCTTCCATCTTAGAATCCCAATTGAGATGAAATCAAATACAGAGCAAAGTTTAATATTAAATAGAATAAATATTAGATGTTTAATTTAATAACCACATAATAACCACATGGATGTGTACACATACCCTATTTTGGCTCCTGTTTGATTCATAGTGATATGAAGATTGGGTTGATTGTACTATAAATCAGGAAAAAAACTGAATGCTCTTCTCAAATAAGATTCACACATCACACAGATTATGAGAGATACATGTAAAATGTGAAAACAAATTAAAAACTCCATACATTACATTGCTCATATGCATATGTAAATAGGAAGTAATAGAGATTAACAGTAGCATTTAATGTGGTTTCACATATTTACTATCTATAAAGAATCATTTGGTATCATTCAAAGTAAACTTGAAACATCAAATCACAAAACTCATTTGACAATTATTAATAAACAATGCACATTCAAATGCTAAAAAAAGTATATAACTTTAAAGCAACTTACTTTTGCTTTTCGCTCCCATTTTGTTATCCTAATTGAGATTAGAACAAATGTAGTTTTATTTATTGTCTGATGTTGAATTAAAAAAAAACACCTTATGTTGATCCTTCCCTGAAGCTCTGCGATATGCAGAGTGGATTGATAATCAGTTTAATGCAGATTGATAATCTAGAGTGGATTGATAAAATAAAGATATTTAAAACCACAGTGTGTGTTCAGGGCCGCGTTAAGAGCTCACTGGGCCCCGGGGCTATGAGTTACTGCAGGGCCCCCCCACCACCACTTTAGGTCACCAACTACATGAGCTAAATGTTATATCATTATACGAGTCATTTTATCTATCTATGATATAGCCTACTTCACAGTCAAGTTATATTAATTTTAATATGATTTTTTTTATTTAAAATTTAATGCCACTAAAATTTCATAATTCTTGAGACCAATTTCAATATCACAATAAATAATAGTAGTTTAAGAAAAGAATCTCAAGCTTACTGATGACAAGAGTCCCAGATAACAATAGAACAAAGGCACATAAGAAATCGACCTACTTGAAAAACTTAAAGCACTGAATATTATATTGTAAAAAGTAATCAAATATACAATACATAGTTTTCACTATAAATTCAAGACTCATTTTTATTTATTTTACAAAAGTGATTCAGTCAAGAGCAGTAAATTACTTTCTTTCTTATGTTTGATTAACATTATTGACACAAATGGCGACAGCAGCTTTATTAGCAGCTACTGTCACTTTAAGACCTCAGGGTCGGAACTCAAGTGCGCTGCGGCTGTGCAAAACCGTCTCAAGTTCACCATGGTCTCAAAACGAGCATTTACTAAATGAATTCTCTCCCGCTGCTTACTGTGCCTGATCAGTTTAAAATAGTTTGTATCTAAACCACAATTAAAAACGCGTTTAAATTATTAACTTACATCATGATGGCGCAGCAAAATTAACATATTTCTACCGGATATATTATCGCCACGCCAGCCCTTTAGCCGAATATAGAGTTTGATCAAACACAAAAAGCAATATCCATCAAGTTAATAATCAAACTTACCGAAAATTGGTGGGGTCGATGATGTCTTAAGAATAGTCTAGATTCTAGAATGAAGTGAAGAGTGGAGGCGATTGATAGGTTGATGCGTAGGCTATATTTTAATCAGGCTCAGGCAGCCATCATCTGATAGGCCTACGTACAGCAGCAGGTCGATTGTTCACGCGTTAAATATAGAATAAATATATTTGATTGGTAGATCAAATTAAAACGTGACGTTTCAATTTACCATGCCCTGCTGCCCACGGGGGTTTGATTGACAGGCGAACTGGCCAATCATAACGCCGAATACGCAATTTTGTCCGACAACAAAGCTGTCAGTGGATTAACGTCGGTGGACTTGAACGTGAAAAACGGTATTGTTTAAATTACTTAAATGACAATATTTGAAAGTTGAGACTTTGTTTCATATCAACAGTCTGAGCCCTCTCTTGTATGTAGTCACTCAGTGTAAAGTTAGTCTTTGCCCCGCGATGTATTTTTCACTGCGTGAGAACATGATGTGCTTAGGCTTGTTCGACTTCATGCAGCTCTGCGCAGACCGATCGGCGGCTGACTTGAAGCAGTGCATGCCGGTTAGAAATGTTGTCCGACTTGATACAGCGCCGACGCCACGTGACCAGAGCCGGATTAACGCAAAGGCAAACTAGGCACGTGCCTAGGGCCCGACTGGCTGGATGGGGCCCAGACAGAGGGATACATTTTTTTTTTTTTTTTTTTTTTTTTACAAATGTCCTATCTACAATTTATTTCAATATTTATTAATTAACTAAAAATAGTGACGATGTTTATCTTAACCATAGACTGTTACATTACGTCACATTAACGCCAGCCCATCAGGTGCTGCGAAGCAAAAGCCTAAATAGGCACGCAAAGAAGCACAGCTCTAATGCAGGTGTGTGCGTTGTCGTCATCTATTTTGGAGTGATTGCAATGTATTCTAAATATAAACTTGTACTGTAGATCAGCGTCATTTCTGGAAAAAACATTCACCGCTTTATTACGAGTTTAAAAGAGCGCGAGCGTCATTAACGTGCCCAGACGCGACGCTTTGAATTTGCGCGTACAATGAATAACATCGCGTCGGGAGCTGACTAAAAACGCTACAAAAGTAAAAGACAAGACGTTTGAATTCAAAGTTAAAAAGCCAACACACTACAACATTTTTAAATGTTTCAAATAAAGGATCTCGGGTCTATCTTCTAAATTCTGCTGATGATTATACCCTGTCTGACATCAGCCTACTTACGCCAATAATATCAGTTTAGAATTTTTTTTCTAAATCAGTAGCGATCGTGTCTTTCTCTTCCACTTAATTTATGTATAGCATATTTAAGCTAGCAATGCAATGCATAATATCATATTAGGCCTACTTATATTAATAATATGACAATATCTGCATTCTGCAGTCGAATATTTATTAAATGGGAGGGGAAAATCCTGCCCATACCAGCTATGAAAAAAATGATAAAAGCATATATCACTGAAGTGGTATTCTGGAACTGTGAATAAATTGAATAAAACAGCAAAATAACAATAACAATAACATCTTCATTAAACAAAAAAGAGATTACCTTAGATGAAGTTTGATTAATATGTAGCCTACTGGTAAAAAGTCTGGACCAATTACTATTTTTAATGTTTTTTTATTATGCTCTACAAGCCTGCATTTATTTGATCAAAAATACAAAAAAGAAAAAGAAAAACAGGAATATTCAGCAAGGATGTGTTAAATATATAAAAAGGATAGTGAAGACTTTTTTAAACAACTTTTTAATAATAATAAAAAAAAAATCCTGAAAAAAAGTATCACAGGTTACAAAATAAATATTAAGCACCATTTCTAACATTTGATAATAAATCAGAATATTATAACGTTTTCTGAAGGATCACATGACACTAAATTCAGCTTTGCATCACATAAATATATTTTAAAGTAGTAAAATAGGAAAACTATTATTTTTAATTTTAATAATATTTCACTATTATTTATCTGTATTTTTGATCAAATAAATCCAGGCTTGATTAGCATAAGAGACTTCTTTCAAAAACATAAAAAATATTAATGTGTCCAAACTTATTTACTGTGTAAGTAAAAACATTTAAAATTAAATGTTGTATAAATTAAAAGGTTAGGAATCATATTTGTTTCAAGAGTTTTTTATTGGGGGTGGGGGGCCTCCAACATGAATATTGCCTAGGGCCTCCAAATGTCTAGAACCGGCCCTGCACGTGACTGTGACGTATGCCATCAAAATACCGCGAGAGCGATTCGAGAGCAGCCGGAGAACTCAGCCAGCGCAGCTTCTGAAGAGCGGCTGCTCGGGGCTGCACGAGCTCTGATGACGACACAGCTGTTCCACGATTGGCCGGATTCACCGCATGACAACGATCACGTGCGTTTCGTGTTTATTCTCACACCTTTAGTTCCACTAAAGCTCACAAATCAGTTTTTTATAACAGTAAACACTCTTTTCATGTAGTCGTGATGTTAGGCTATCTATTGTGTTATCTTTATCAAAATAAAAGTGATTATAAAACGTCGACTGCACTTCATTGATAGTGGCTATTTTGAACTTTATTCTTGTTCAAACAGATGCAGTATAAAGCAGTACATAAAGTATTGAATGAAAATGTGTCTGAAACATCTGTGCATTTGGCAAATATTGAATTTATTTCACTTCAGCTGTGGTAAAGTATACAAACACCACGTGAGCGGTTAGCTACTACGGGAACCAGAAAGTGTCCGACTTCACGTCTCCGTTTGCAGCTCCTCCCCGCCTGCACGCGGCTACTCTCGCCGATCGCTTACATCCAGCCGCAGCCGATGTCGAACACACCTAATGACTCTTGAGAGCCGCCTGGCTTGTCACACAGTAACTAAAAAAGGCGGGTCTTTGCGAACGGTCACTATAATATTAATGATAATGATTCCATGATAATGCATGGAATATACGGCAAAGCCCCACTAAATAACAGGACCAATTTGTGGGGGGCGTGGTAAGGCTTTGGAAATCAGATTGCTAGTAGTAGTCAATCTGCACCACAGCCAATCACGGGCCCCCTCCTTGCTCGGGCCCCGGGGCTTTAGCCCCGCCTAGCCCTATTGTTAATGCGGCCGTGTGTGTGTTAGTTCATATATTAATCACACACAAACCTCAAGCTGATTGTCTGAATCACCGTGTCTGAAGCGAGTTTGGTTTGATAACTCTAAAAAAAAAAAAAAAAAAAATGAACACCATCTTGTCAAATAAGAGCTATGAGAAACAGAAGTCTAACTTACCATATCTTGCGTCTCCCATCTTGTAATCCTAATTGAGATGAAAAAAAAGGATGTCATGCCATAACATCACCACACAGTTAATAGTGTGTGATCTATAACACATCAAAGATAAACTAAAGTCAATTGTTGTGAAAGACAATTTTTAAGAAAAAGCAGGGAAATTGTTGTAAT